TGATTCCCCAATTCATTTTTATTGTTACCAAGGAGTTGAGTTTGGGGGTTTTTAGTTGTTTTTCTTAAAAAAAAACAACACCCAACAAACCAAACAACAACAAACAAAACAACAACACGTTGCAAGTCGCTCCCTGGGAGGGGGGAGGTTCAAAAACATCCTGAAACAACGTGTCCCGGTATCTCAGCTCCTTCTGAGTGTTGTTCCCTTCCCCTTTCCCTTCCTAGGAGCGTTTCCTGCGGGTGGAGCTGATGAGCCAGGCTGGGAAGGACGGAGCCACCACTTGTTCTGCTCCTCAGTGTGGGCTGCCACTGCCCCCCAGCTCCAGGCTGGTTGTGAAGAAGCTGCCCTTGACTCATGTATGTCCCTTCCACGGGCCTTTGAGATCCTGTTTCTCCAGCAGGAGCCTTCACAGCCCACTCTGGTTGCTTTGGGCTCTGCTCAGGGACCATCCTGGGTCACCAGACCAAGGAGGGACAACCCATGTACTAAACTCCCAGGCGAAATGAGCAGGGAATGTCCTTTTTCACAGAATTGTTCTGGTTGGAAAAGTCCCTTAAAGTCATCAAGTCCAACCATAACCCAACTCTACCAACCATCAACCCAACTCTAGGGAGTCCAGTGCTTAAACCATGTCCCTCAGCACCACATCTCCAGGGCTTTAGAACATCCCTACGGATGGGGATTCAACCTGGGCAGCCTGAGCCAGGGCCTGACAACCCTTTGCAGTGAAGAAGTTTCTTCTAACACCCCATCAAAACCTGCCCTGGCACAGCTGGAGGCCATTAACCCACAGCTGGATCTCATGCCTTCAGCTCCCCAGCCTTTTCCTTCTGCTCACAGCCCTGGATCCTCACTTTCAGGATGTCCTGACAGCAGGATTTGGGGGAGTGGTGCAGTTCCCACAGAGCCACTCGAGCTTTGACCTCTTCCCTGAGCCTGATTTTGGTCTCAGATGGGGCTGGTTTGGGGGTTTTGTTGTTGTCAGTTCCCATATCTGACTCTTAGAGCCTCTGCCGTGTCCATGGATCATCGCTTTGGGGTTGGCAGAGCTCCCCCCACCCGAGGAACAACCTAACTTCTGGTTCCAGTTTCAGCTTTGAGCCCATCTTGCTTGGGGATGGATCCTTGTCCATCGGGTGGGGTCAAGGCCAAAGTTTCCCTAGTGCTGGGTCATAGAATCCCAGACTGGTTTGGGTTGGAAGGGACCTTAAAGATCATCCAGTTCCAACCCCCCTGCATGGGCAGGGACACCTCCCACCAGCCCAGGCTGCTCCAAGCCCCATCCAACCTGCCCTTCAACACTGCCAGGGATGGGGCAGCCACAGCTTCCCTGGGCAACCTGGGCCAGGCTCTCCCCACCCTCACAGCACAGAATTGCTCCCTCACATCTCAGCTTCAGCTCCCTCTGCCAGCTGGAAACCCTTCCCCCTGCTCCCATCCCTCCCTGCCCTTGTCCCAAGCCCCTCCCCAGCTTTCCTGGAGCCCCTTCAGGCACTGGAAGCTGCTCTAAGGTCTCCCTGGAGCCTTCTCTTCTCCAGGCTCAACACCCCAACTCTCCCAGCCTGTCTCCAGAGCAGAGCTGCTCCAGCCCTCCCAGCATCTCCGGGGCCTCCTCTGGCCTCTCTCCAACAGCTCCATGTCCTTCCTGTGTTGGGTGCATTGTTCTTTTCCCTGGATCTGAGGTTGGAAAGCTTCCTCCAGCCTTCCTCTCCTCTGACACCTCCTCTCTTCCTCCTGCAGAGCAATGACAGCAGGGATGAAGGTGGCTACCTCTGCCACTCCTGCACCCGGCAGCGCTTTGGCTCCCTCACACCTCTCACTTCCTTCCCAGAGCCTCAGGAACAGCCCCTCCAGCTCTAAGGAAGCCTCCCAGCTCCCTGGATCCATCCTGGCTGGGGGACAAGACCTGTTGTCACATCCCAGCTCCAAAATCAGGCAGATGTTGGAGAAGGAGTTTGGACCAACTCCCAGGAGGAACCCTCCAGGATCTCTGCAAGGTGTGGGACCTTTTCTCCAGCCTTGCCTTGCCCACCAGAGCTGGTCAGCATGGCCTGCCCTGCAGAACGTGGCCTGTATAAACTGTATCAAACAAGGCAGCAGGATTTTTTTGGGGAATTACCCCTCCAGTGCCTCTGTCACCAGGAAAACACCTCCAGTGACCCAACTGCCAGGCTGTCCCTGCCTCTTCCATCACATCACGGCCCCGTCAACTCCCTCTGGAAAGAAGAGGAAATGCAACTCAAGTAGCCAAAGAAACACTTTATTCCTAGAAAATGGACCTTTTCCTGGAACCTTTTTTATGGGAATAACATCACTCTCAGCTCTGGGAGGAAGTCCTGAAGCTCTCCCAGCTGAAGGAACTTTCTTTGTTTGGACACTCAGGGGTCTCCCCAGATTCCTGTTTCCCTTCTCCCTGCAGGAAACCATGAGGGAAGAGGAAAAGCAGCATTTCAGAAGCTGCTCTGGTTGGGTTCCTGTCCAACTCCAGAGGCAACCTGAGAGTGGTTCCCACCCTGAAATTAAATTTGTAACCAAAAAGAGAAGCTTTAAGCATTTATTTTTCTCTTCCCTTCCCTTCAGAAGTCGCCTTGGGTCGTGCTGCTTTCCCACCAGCAGCAGAGGTGGCTCTCCTCAATCAGATGGTGTCTTCTCCTTTTTGAAGGCACCATGGCTTGTTGGACCCCCTGTCATGCAGAGATGAAAAGTGAAAGTGATTCTGGAAGAGATCAGCTCTGGGATGTGGGCCCAGAGCCATGGGCTGTTCCTGCTGGAGGAAGCTCCTGCATCCTGCTGATTGCCCTGATGTCAGCTGGAAGGTGGTGGCTTTGCTGGCTCTCCTTTCACTTTCGAAGCACCAGCTCCAGGAAGGTCTTTCCCTCTTCTGCTCACCCAGGTGTGGGGAGAAGTTCACCCAAGACTTGGGTGCTGGATGTAGCAGAGCTTGGCACTGATGTCACACCTCCAGGGATCCCTTCCAGCCTCATTTGTCTTCCAGGACGTCCTGTGGTAGGTTGAGGACAAGCAGGTGTTGCTGCTGGAGGGTTTGGTCCATCACACACCCAAAGTGCTGCTGCCTCCAGCTCCACCAGACCGGATCAGCAGAGCAACCAGGAGGAAAAGACCCAGCAGCAAGGAGATGAGGTGGAAATTTATACACAGGATCACAGAACCATTCTGGTGGGAAAAGACCTTTAAGATCATTGAGTTCAACCATTAACCCAACTCTACCAAGTCCAGAGTTAACCCATGTCCCTCAGCTTCACATCTACACAGCTTTGAAACCCCTCCAGGGATGGGGATTCAACCACCTCCCTGGGCAGCATCTTCCAGTGCTGTATAACCCTTTCCATGAAGAAGTTACTTCTAATATCTAATCTCAACCTCCCCTGGTGTGACTTGAGGCTGTTTCCTCTTGTCCTGTCACTTGTTGCTTGGGAGAAGAGACTGACCCCAACTCTCTACCTCCTTTAGCAGTTGTAGAGAGCAAGAAGGTCTCCTCTCCTATCCTGTCTCCAGGTTTCCAGCTGAAAATCCTTTCACCACCCTGCTGACCTGGCTGTCACCCTTTGCCTCCAGGGTTCTTGTTGCCACAGAGATGAGTTTCACCCCAGCCCACCTCCCATCTGGCCCCTCTGTGCTCCCCACCACCATCATGGCTGTTGAGACACCCAACCAGCCCCAGAAGCCCCCTGTTGTGTGTGGTGTTGTAGGTACAATATGTCCACACTGACCCATCCAGCAGCAGTAGGATGGAGCTGCCTGGTCTGTGCCAGGGGGGGAGACAACAGGACCACACCTGGTGATGGAGGAAGGGAAAACACCCCCAGGGGAGTATTTCCCAGGTCCTGGCACTGCCTTCAGGCTCTGGTGGTGTCTGTGGTGGAATCACTCCTGCTTGTGGTCCCCTGGGAGTGGCCAGAGCTGGAGGGAACCCAGGGTTGGTGCTGGAGGTGCCTCCAAAGGATCCCTGAGGGTCCTGATCTGGGAGCAGCATCCGAGGACCAACCTGCTGTGGGCACTTTGGCTGCTGGTGGGACTCAGCAGTGAGGGGCTGGAAGGGGTGAGGAGAGAGGACATGGTGGGGTGGATGCTCAGGTGGGTCCTTCTCTCTCCAGCTGCCACAAGCAGTGCTGCTTTCTGGAGGCTGGGGCAATTCTGGGGCAAAGCAACTCAGAAGGAAGGGGCTGGTGTCCAGCTGGACCAACTCCAGCCTTGCTCCTGGCCAGAGAACGGGTGTTAATTGGGGCAGAGCAGCCCAGCTTCACCCACCCAGCACCCAAATCCCACCCCCCTGCACCCCAAACACCCTCCACTGGGGACAAGAAGCCCCCAGACCACTCCCTGCCAACCACCAGCACCTACAGGACCTCCTTGGAATTTTAACTCCCAGGGCAGGATTCTCAACCACCCTGAGGTTCTCGTGGTGTCCCCCCACCCACTATTCAGCCCCACCACGGGACAACCCACCCACCTTTGGGTGCTGGAGTTGTCTCACCCATGAGAATCATTTCTTCAGGCTGGGAAGAGCAGCCACATGTCCCTGGAGCTCCTTGCAGAGGGTGCCTGAAGACCAGGACGTGCTCCAACGACGCTCGGGGAAGCATCTTGGTTTCCATCCCAGCCCCCTCCCCCAGCATCCTCTGGGCTGGTGGGTGCAACGAGTTGCCCAGGGGTGGGTGCTCAGCCCGTGGGGAGGACATCAAGTGGCAACCTCTCGTTCTCAGCAGCTGGAGCCACCATGGGGATGGAGGTGGCTGCCACCGTGTAGTCCTGCCCCGCGCGCCTGCAGAGGGGAGAGGAAGTGTCACCAGCACCTCCAGACCCTGCCCAGCTTCCAGGGAAGTGCAAAATCACAGAGCTGTTCTGGTGGGAAACACCTCTAAGGTCATCCAGTCTGTTCCCTCAGCCCTGCCAAGGCCACCCCTGCCCCGTGTCCCTCAGCACCACATCTGGAGGGCTTGGAAACCCCTCCAGGGATGGGGACTCCCCCCCTGCCCTGGGCAGCCTGGGCCAGGCCCTGACAACCCTTGCCAGGCAGGAATTGTTCCCCAGATCCAACCTCAACCTCCCCTGGCACAACTTGAGGCCGTTCCCTCTTATCCTGTCCCTTGTTCCTGGGGAGCAGAGCCCGACCCCCCTGGCTCCACCCTCCTCTCAGGCAGCTGCAGAGCCAGAAGGTCTCCCCTCAGCCTCCTTTGCTCCAGGCTCAACACCCCCAGCTCCCTCAGCTGCTCCTCACAAGTTCTCCAGCCCCTTCTCCTTCTGCTCCAGCCCCTTCCCCAGCTCTGGGGCCCTTCCCTGGACACGCTCCAGCCCCTCCAGGTCCTTCTTGTCCTGAGGGGCCCAGCCCTGACCCCAGGATTCCAGGTGTCCCCTCCCCAGTGCCCAGCACAGGGGGACAATCCCTGCCCTGCTCCTGCTGCCCACCCCAGTGCTGACACCAGCCAGGATGCTGGTGGCCTCCTTGGCCACCTGGGCACTCTCTGGCTCATCTTCAGCCACTGTCAACCAACACCCCCAGGTGCTGGCAGAGGCTGAGGACAACTCATCAGAGGGTGAAAAGACCTCCTGGGGTCCATCACACTTACATTTTCATCCTCCAGCAGCAACAGGCCACCACGCCAACCACCAGCACCACCAGGAGCCCTATGGGAGAGGCAGCAAAATCAGCATCTTCCACCTCAGACCAAGAGCTCCTCAAAGAGCCAAAACCATTTTGTGCAGGTTCACAGAGGTGCTTTCCCCACCCCAGGGAGAAATCTGGGTGCTCCATCCTTCCTCCCTCCGGGGAGATCTTACCCCTTGACCCTCACAAAACTCCCACAGCCCCAAGGAGGAGCTTTTAAGCTAAAAAAGTAATAAATCTGTTTCCCAAAATGAGCTTTTTTGCTCTCCTTACCAATGGAAGAGGCCACGATCTGGATGGGAACTGGAAAAGAAGAGAGAAAGGGAGATTTGTGAGCTGTGAAGTCAGGAACGTGGAGGAGAAATGTCACTTAAAAAGGGGGGTTGGAAAGTAAGGAAAATTCCACTGAAGAAGTAAAAGAGGCTTCACTGGTAGAAACCCAGGCCCTGAGAGGTGGCCTGACCTGCTGTGTGGTCCATGGGGGTGGGGGGCAGTGGGGTTGTCCCCAGAGATGTCCCTGGGGCTGTCCCCTCTCCTGGTGTGGATGTCTCCAGTGATGGGGGCATCTCTGGCAGCCTGGATGTCTCTGGTGACACCCCATCGAGTGCTGGTGGCAGGGGTGAGAGGCTGGCAGGTCCTGGCAGCCTGGGTGTTGCTGCTGGAGAGGGGCTGGAGGTCGGGCTGGTGTTGGTGGTTCCTGCTGGGGGAAACTAGGTTGAGAGCAGCCCCGAGGAGAAGGACTTGGGGGTGTTGGGTGAGGAGAAGCTCAACAGGAGCCAGCAAAGCCACCCATGTCCTGGGCTGTCACCAGCAGTGAGACCAGCAGGGCCAGGGAAGGGATTGTCCCCTCTGCTCTGCTCTGCTCTGCTGAGACCCCCCCTGCAGGGCAGGGGCCACCTCTGGGGTCCCCAACACCAGAAGGACATGGAGCTGTTGGAGAGAGGCCAGAGGAGGCC